TATCTAACACATTTATGCGCTCCTTTAATGTCAAAATCACTGAATCTTTGATAAATCTGCCAAATATCCTCACTCGTCACTGTTCAGTAATGAAATACCGTCCAAGTTCCAAGTTTAAAGTGTAGAAAATGCACTATAAGGTGGCGTTATCTTCAGGAATCTCAATTTCTTAAATATATCATGTCTATATAAGATGAGATGTGATGCGCTCTATGAGCTGGCCGATGATGACCTACCTAAATTGCAGTTCCTCATATTACACGACACCGAGGTAACGCTCCAGAAATGTTCAATTACAAATCAGAAAGTGATTTCTTTGATCGCAGAACCTTTTCCTATTTCACAGATTGATCAAAAATTCCTCGAGAATCTCAATTTGAAACATCCAAAACTGATGATATCGAATCGTCGGAAACATTTCATAAATTGGGATCTGAAGGATGGAAAGCAGCCGTGTTTCAACGAGGAATTTGCTGGTGATCTGAATACTATTTTAAATGATTTAAGCGAACTGTATGGATTTTGTTGCATGCATAGTGTGATTTAATAACATCTTCATAAAAAATAAAGTTACATCCAAACGGATAATATTATTCGTTACTTCTCTAAACACAACGAAATTCATATTAACTGCAAATGGAATAAAAGTTTCCCCAAAGTAAATGTGTATCCATCTTCTTGAATCATACACATCACATCAAAACAAGCTCTTATAATCATTTCAAGAAATTTATTGATGAAATCAAATGAGTGAATTAATTTCATCGGGTATATAGTATAAAAATGCAACCCAATATATGATATTAAAGAGAATATACAGAGTCGGGAAGACAATTTTCGACGCTGAATCAATACGGTTCACCACATATGCGGGATCTTTCATACGTAACTTCTGCCTGGCCTTTGCCGCTTTAACGGCCATTCGATAGAATACTGGAAGCAGAGATGTCATCAAAATGGATGACTTCAGTTAGAATATTAAGGATGAATAGTAAGGCCAACAGCATTAATAACAAAGATGATAAAACCTGAACGACGTTCTTGTTTGTGACCAAATAATCGTCTATACCACGGCCTAGGTTTAACATTCAGCGATACTGATCCTTCCACAGCCTCACGACCAGCACCCATCAGTGATGCAGAAAACAGTCGCATTTTTTCGATCTTTAAAGTTTCAAACAATCATATCATTATCACCTTTTTGTGATTAACATCTCTAATAATTGGTTATCGAGCGGGAGGGAAGGGGAGTTGTTTGGAGTCTAAGAAGCGCTTGAACATACGAAGCGTTGCATTTAAATAAATTTCCGTTCATTGAATTCACAATGAAAGCGATCCGAAGAAATGGGGAATGGATCATTTTCAGTTGCTCAAAAGACTGAATAAAAAATTATCGCTGATGGTATATACGAATGGCACATACGAATGCATAGAAATGGCCACAGAAATTTGACCGAAACAGTAAAATTCAAAGAAAATTACCGCACGTGTAGTGTCCAATCCTTTGAGATCGTGAACCTGGAAGGATGATTCTCAAGTGCTTGGTCAAATTTACTTATGTGCATTTTTGTTATGTGCATTTTTGTTCCCCATGACAGATTATCATAGGAAGAAATTGGAAGGTGATGGGAAGAGAAATTTGTTTGATCGCTAGGAAGGGACTCCGCTGAAACTATCGACGAACTGTTATAATAAAATATGTTGATTATTGAATCAATTTTTTGATTCTCTCCTGACACATCGCTTCACGCAATAAACTGCTGAAGAAAGGGCGTGTTGGAGCAATTTACCACCGTATCGCCAAAGCGGGTGTGCTGCTTCAGAGCATGAGAAGCATTGCACGATGGGAAGAATTCTCAAAAAGAAACCTTTTTCTGTATATACAGAATATACGCGTAATTAATGACCGCATACTCGACAAGTGCTGCGAACACGAACCCAAAACACGATCTGTAATTGAATTTGTCCCTATTGTTCCAATGCTCGCACTGAATATGTCTTAAAGCAATAACATCTTCACTGGATATGTCATGTCTTACTTACAGCATATAGATATCCAAAGCGGTTGAATGCGACACTTTGGGGAGATCAGATCGTGAACCGAAACCGAGTGTTGACATTGATAAAACTGTCATGATACCTTAACAACAACGCAATTTCATCGATAAAAACAAGNATCTTGTTTAACACAAGAATGCGATCTATTACTTATTATTCTTATTTTAGATTATTTAGTAATGTTTGCGGACACTTATTTTTATGATAAGTCAGTAATTTTGCTCTTTTCTGAATGAACTATCAGTATGTCAATCATTACAAAATGATTATAACACTGCCGACCTAGGTATATGTTAAATGGACGATTTGTATCGTTTGTAGCTGAATAACTACCATATCTGAATGAAACGAGTCACTGAACGACACAACCAACCTAAGGCAACACGAGCTGGAGATGCCTCTTTGTTGATCCAGAAGCTTACCCAAGACATCACCACAATCAATGTACACGGTGTGTATATTTGCAGAATATAGAATCCTTGCTGACGTTGCAGTTTGAAATAAACTTTCAGTATTGACATATCTACAACATCAAAAATACCGATGTTATGTGAAACGTTTCACTTGCTCAGTTACGTTTCCATAACGATACCGAAGAGCTTGAGAAGAGTTGAATAGAACGCATCACTATTTCTGGATATCAACCGTGAGCGCCAAATGGCGAAACTTTCCAATCTTATAATACCCCTTCACAGCATCATTTCACGGGAATCACTGAACGATCACCCCACTTTTTTGGACCATTCCGTGAATCGTATCACTTCAACATTATACTCGTAACATTGATGATCAGTATGAGTTTTGCACAAGCATCATAGTTATATTCACATACTCGCACATACAATCATAAAAATATTCAAATCTTCTCACTGAGATTCGCGAAACGTGGATCGGAAATATTATATGAAGTTTTGATGACATCGAGCAGCTGATATTGTGATAGCATATTGCTCATTTTTGCATCCAGCTCGACGTCTTTCCATACGTAAATCACGTCTTTCGAATAATAACCAAGGCTTCCGATTTCAATTGGACAAGCCTGTAGAAAGTGAGCAAGCACACTAATAAAACAAATCAATCACAATATCTCTCGATCAAACTTTTCAAGGTCCAAGTTGTCATCACGGACGGATAAGCAACTCCTCTTTCGACACAAAAGTTATCATCCTTTTCCAGCACACAGACATTACTGTTGATTGCTACGAAACAAAGACTATCGCATCAGAATGAAAATGCTTCAGAATGAAATGCAGTTTCATTAGCACTAATATCCTACCTGAGCGTCCATTGGAAATTTCTTAAAGAACATTTTGCACTTTGTCTTTATGGTGAGCCTTAAAATATCAATGATTCAGCTTTTACTGCTGTTCAAACGAATCTCGCGACGTTATCCACTCACTTTCATCTTTTAATTTTTATTCTTATTNTCAACATTCTGGTTTGATAGATACCAAATTTCTCAGTACTCCAAACAAGACAATTATTAGCATCAATTATCAATATCATTGTTATTCTCATTATTCTTCATTGATCATGATTACTGTTATTATTATTGCTATCATTATTATTATTATTCATTACGGTATTAGTTATTGTTATTAATTATTAACAATAAGCAGCATTGTTAATGTTATTATCGTTCCAATTAAGTGTCCAAAAATCACATTCGAAATGGAAAGAAGGTCCCGTGCTGAGTGACAACAATTTCGAGCGATCAACTTAACGGCTTAATGATTTCCAAACGGATGAAATGAAAAAATCGAAATGTTACACATCGTACCGTTGTGAGACATGAACTTGTCCATCGAATCGCACTCTGAATAAGATGTTTGGTACGGTTAGTGTATGAAGATATGAATGACGACCGTTGCGAATGAAACTGCAGACACTCAATTAAGTAAATTGCTCGCAATTAAAATTTCACAAACCAAAACTCAGATATCCAACAAACAGAGCACATCAATCAACTTCGTTAAAATTCCACTGATTCGCATCATTTCATTGACATTTCATGATTGACGTCGAGAAATTTGACTTTCTTACGATTAATAACACGCTTATAATAAGTCGTGACTAATCGTTCACGATGACGGAATAAATTCTGAGGATCAATCGTAAACATACGTATCTGGAGTCCAAATATCCCTCAAAGTCTTACTGGCCAACGGTAAATCTTCTCGCGATCCGAATGGACTGAACGCCAAACGTCGATCCAGCCACTTCTGTCGAAAATAGCAATCCAACGAAAACTCCTAAAAGGGCCGCATAAGGCTGCTCTTCCAAATTTTCAAACTCATCAAACGAAGATTGCTCGCTTTTTACCAAATTCCAGCAAACTCTCACCATTTGATGTTCAGATATTGGTCCCATACTTCGAACGCTGATATCAATTTCAACCTGAAGTGGACTTTTTGGGTCTGAAAATATGTTTCCCATCAAAAATACATCGCAAAATTTTATCACCAGCCTATTTGAGCCGAATGACTATGACCATTAGTTGTTCAAATTGATGAATTCATGAGATCATTAAAAAAACAAGCAAAAACGATGCGGGAGTGAGCAAAAAACTCGTGGAAACGATTTGTGGAAACTAAATTCATTCCGTTTCATTACCTGGATTCAAAGGCCGGAAATTTTTGTCTTGATTCAAAAGAATGGTATCTAAAACTTTAGTGATATCGTGAATAAGTGATGTATTGTTCGCGGTTGTGGTGGTGGTTACCGCAGACGTCGTGATATTCCTTCTCGAGCAGAGAACCGAAAGCGTTTCAAAAACGCTGATTAACAGCCAAACGTACATGTTTATGTTAAATTAGGCGTTTATGAAACGACTGATCAAAGCATTCAATCAATCAATTCATATGGTTTCATGGTACCAATTATATCGGTATCGATCCATTCTGCAATTGCAATCAACCTGCTATACTGCCCATTAGTGTAAGCACATTCTATCACTGAAGCGGGATACAAAATTATCAAATTGTTTGATTTCTTCAAATGAGAAAATCTACACGCATTTAAAATTCATCATAACGTTTGTTTGGTCCTTAAGAATTGCAAATAACTGCTTATTGGAGGAGACTTTCCCTCAACAATGTGCTATATGTCAATTGTTAGTCGCAGATCTCTTGAGATAGCGATTTTTGTCGCTAAAATTCCAAGAAGCAAATATTTTGCTGTTGGTCTATTTGACAATTCCACCGCGTCGCGAGTCCTGTAAAGCACGAGAACGTTAGAATAACAGTCAAGAACTATATGATGTCTATCATAATTGCGTGCCATACTCACTCACATAAACTTCAAGGTTCGCTGGAATAAACTGAAGTACTCGCTGATTCATGAAAATTTGGAAAATGAATGCCCTTACATCATCATATTCATCTACCATTCACTAAAATGCTGTGAATAATTGTTGATGGAAGTGGAAACATTCTCACTGAATATGGATTCGAAAAAGCACACATCGTATTTAACGCCACAATTTATACACGTTAACTTTTGCAAAACAGATCAAAATTCTTTCAGAACAAGTGTTAGAACCTACAAAATTAGAAGCGCATCTTGTATAAGATCATGAAAGTTTTCACAGAACGTGCAGATTATTGAACATGATACACTAAACACGCATCAAAGTGTTCAATGAGGATATCATAGAAGCGATCAACTTATCACATAAATATAATCCTAGAACTTGGAGATATATGCGAGGTTCACTTTTTTGAAGTGGATTCAATACGGAACAAATATGTAGACT